AAACACATTTCATTACACCAAATACACAAAATAATGTTCTTTTTTAGCAGCATCATATGACCCCTTTAAATGCCGCTCCATCTGACAGCACGTGCTGGAGATTTACTACTAATCACCAGAAGCGGCTTTACTGACAAGATTCACATGAAAATCGCATTCGATTTTTTGCCCAGCCCTACTGCTGGGGTATAAAGTCCATAAATTGGTGCTCTTTGGATTCTGTGTAGTAAATGCCGCTCCATCTGAAAGCACGTGCTGGAGATTTACTACTAATCACCAGAAGCGGCTTTACTGACAAGATTCACATGAAAATCGCATTCGATTTTTTGCCCAGCCCTATCGCTAATGTCATAGAATAGCACATTGCAACGCAGTGTTACAACGTGCCCCATCTGCGCAACTGGAATTTAAAACTGGTTAGTGTCTTCTGCTAGTTATCAAAGCATTAATAAATGATCTGAACTGATAAATAACAGATTGGAGATTAAAATAATAGCAGATTTGTCTCATTTTAAATGAATAATATAACTGAGATGAAAAATGTACTTAAGCCAGAATTGTAATTTTACTAAGGTCAAATTAATGTTCAGCGATATCTTCAAAAGATTTTTGAATTTTGGCGCACATTTTTTCTATATAATGTTGATATGGTAACTAATAAATACTGTAAATTTTGTTATGCTAGCATGTGTGAAAATATTCAAACCACGTGTGTTACAACTAACACCACGTTACTTTGTGCCCCGCGCTCCCCTACTCCTCTACACTAACTTACTAACTTCTCAAAATTTCTAGTAAACAATCAATCATACTAATCCTACTAAAACAACTTGCCTACTTGTTCCAGTAGTGAATATAATCCATTTATATGTGGAACTCAGTTAACAACTAATAGTCATTAGGTAGTAGTTATTCTTTAATTACTTGCCCAAAATAGGCCTATTAATAGTGCTGTTGTGAAAGATACAAGTGTCTATAAATAGGTACCAGTAGGCTACTGTAAATAAGAAGTAAAGAAATTATAGTAACTATTTAAAGAGTTACAAATATCTAAATAATAACCTGTAGTAACTAATATTAGGAAAACTGGAATGGGTATCAGAAATTGAAATACATACTAGTTACAAGAGAATAGTTGAAATATGAACCACAGACACTCATGGAATTTACAAACAAATAGTATAGCATTTACAAGTAAAACTGGAATAGTTACTTATCACCTCTAAAATAGTGACTAGCAGAGGAATAAGGATCAGCTTCTAACAATTAAATACAAGTGAAACTGGAAATGTGAATCAGTTTTTACTACAAAAACTATTTACTCCCAGAAAAAAAAAAACTTACAAACAAGTAGTACCATCTAATGAAAAGTTAAAGGTGGGGTAAGCGATTTCTGGTAGCCAATGTTGACATTTGAAATCACCAAAACAAACACGCCCCTACCC